AAAAATAAAAATATTATTTTAAATTTTTTGCATCTCAAAAAATTTAATCATAATATATAACATAATTTTAATAATCTATCCATTCGATAATTAGATTCATAGCAGAAAAATATTTGAATATCTTATCTTTCTTATTCACCATGACTCTATTTTTGTGAAACATAATCTCAAAAGGAGTTTTAAAGTATGCAGGATAGCAATTTGTACTTCTTCTATCACAAACCGTGACAGACATTGTTGATATTAGAGACCTACGAAATCAAACTTTTTTAACTCTGACTTCGAAAATGTTTCTTCCCGTGTAATATCACGAATCGTATCGATCATTTAAAAAAAATTCACAAAATATAACTTTATTCGGAGTTTCTATAATCTATATCGACTTCAACTTCGAAAAAAAAATAGATTTGACTCCGTCGAAGTCTCATGCAAGTCTCTAGTTGATATACAATCACAGACTGTATATGAATAATGTCTCGTTATAATATATATATAAACTACATATTGCATTTCTGACGGACTAAGCAAAATCATAGTGAAGAAATGTTTCCCAGTAATTAACAACAGCAGCTACATCGTGTTTCATATTTTAATCCTAATAACAGCTTCTACTAATATATTCTGATTTTCAGCAATAGTAATTATATCGTATTACTTGAAAATCTACAATGTTCACCATTTTGCCATTCGCCCCTTGTACTAAGAAAGTTCGAGAAATAGAAGGTTAACTATTTTGATTTTATTTAATCAACAAAATCATATTATTTTTCTTTTTTACAATTTTGATTTACATAGCATTTATCAAGATTTCAAAAACAGGAAAAAAAAACAACATACTTATTTCAAATTTTATAATCGACTATGAGACAGTTTTTCCATACTCTGTATCATACGTTGTATGTGCAATATTTGTTTCAATGTCATCATCTTTTATATCAAAAGTAAAACAATCTAAATACGGAGGAATATAACAATGTAAAGTAACTGCTTGTTGATTTTCATCTAATGTTTCCATTTTATGTAATCCAATATGATCATTAATTAAATGTACTGCACCTTCTTGCATTTCCACTATTTCTTTTACATCTAATTTTTCAATATTATGTTCATTTTCTGGTATATAATATTTTGTTTCACGTACTATACCTCGTAGAACGGACATTAAACAATCACTACCAGCATGATTATGAATAGGTGATGGACCACCTTTCCAACAGACAAGCATTAATGTAAAACGATTTGAATGATGAGCAATTAAATTTCTTGTATAAGTTTCAGTACCATTCCAACATTCATATTTATGCCAATCTTTAGGATGATGTGATCCATATTGTTTAAGAAGAGACATTATTAATGAACGAGGATATTCATTTGAACATGATGATGTAAAACCAGGATCAATTTGATCACTTAATTGATCACATTTTGTTAAAGATAAATCAATAAAATAAATTAATTCAGATAGAGATAATTTATGATGAGCTTGAGGACACTGAAAATATAAATAAGATTTATTTAACGATGCGTGACGTGATTGTTAAGCTCTCGACATTTGAGAGTTTGCGGATGAGAAGCTCATAAGGAGGTCTCGATAGGACTAGAAAAATCCTAAAAGAGTTCGTGCCTATGCATCTCTGAAGGAGAGTTGTGATCGTTTCACTTAATTTTCGATCCTGAAAGTTTGCTCATAGCGCCACAAAAATTGAGTTTACTTAAATATTCAATATCTCGACAAAATAACATTATTTTCGGCTGAAACTTTCACGATCGAAAATTAAATAAAACGGTCATAACTCTCCTCCAGAGGACCATAGGCACGACTCCTTTGAGAATTTTTTAGTCTTATCGAGGCGTTCTTTTAAATTCAATATGAGCTCGAACGATGAGTATCCGTTCGGGTTGTTCAGTTATTAGTGAACAAAATACATATGCCCTAGTATTTATTTTAGTCAAAACTACATACGAAAGGATTAAATATCAAGAGGCTCAAATGTTGGTGAACAATATATGTAATTTACTTGTTCAATACTCATTGTAGTATTATTGTTCTTACACATTGTACAAGTACATATCTCATTTGTTGTTATATGATTCATTGTGTTTTGACCATAAAGAGTAAATCGAAGAAATGATATTAATGCTTCGCTCGGTCGTTTTTTTCTTACTTTTTACTTAAAGAGAGTGTAAATGCACTAGAACAAAGTAAAAGAGAGAAAAGAGAATAAGCGTATTTTTTTTCTTCATTCTTTTATTTTTTCGTTTCATACAATTTTGTCGTTTTAAGTGCAAAATAATAGAATCTTTCATTAATTAAATGATTTTTACTCATAGTTGTCAAAATACATATTTTTGATTGCGGACATTTTTCTTCATTCATAGGAAAAAAAGGTTCACAAACAGAATCGAGTAAAAGAAATAAACATCATGTCTACAGTATAGAAACAAGCGATACTAGATCTGATCAGATGTTTAGTACGAATAGTTCGATTTAACAAAGAACATGACTCCCTTTCGAGCTAGTTAAGGGTCATTCAGTGTATTTCTTTTAATATGCAACCTTAACAGAAGTGTTTACAATGACGGAGATAAATTTAGTTAAGTTAAATAGAAATGTTGACCATGCACTATGATAGCTTATCTACAATTAGCACACAATCTATTAACGAAGGAATAATATTTAAAAATTATCATTTTGGATTGAAACAAAAAAGAAAAGTTGGAATAGAATTAAAATATAGTTTTGTACACATAAATTAAGTGAATGTGAAGATGAAGAGAAGAAGATCACAGTTTGTATTATTTGATTAATTTTTCAATAACAAAAAAAATTGGCGCATCAGTCAGAAAGATGTAAACGTACTCCATGCAGGATAAAAATGTGAAACATAATGTGACTGCTATTACTAATTATTGGGAGATTGCTCTGTTCCATCTATTTCTAGACATATTTCTTTATCATCCTTTCCAGAAATGCGATAACGAAACAGTTTATATATTAGAATGAGATGTTATTCATATATGCTCTAACATTGTATCTCTATAGTTCAACACTCCTTTTAGATCATATTTCACGAAATTGATCATTAAAATGAACTGATCTTATTATAGTTAGTTGTGTAAATATTATTTGAATAGTTTCTCTCACATGGATTGCTGATCAATGTCACACTACACATGTATCGAAAGTCTTGGTAAGATGGATCATTAATATGGTGGATTCAAATCAAGTAATAGATGAAAATAGAACATGAGTTAGATTAATTACATCTCAATAGTTTACTCAGTTTTCTTTACCGAATTTGTTCTACAAAGATATTCTTTCCTTAAGATAATATAATTATACAGCTTTTTTCTCTTCTGCTAAATAATTTTCTATCATCATAGGTTAATGTTTCTTTTGATTTTTATCCAATATAAAACATAAATATTTCTTAAATGAATTATTGTTTTGATATTATCGAATAAATTTATGTATAATAGAAATATTTGCTTATAAAATGAGATTTTAAATTCAATTCTCTATAAATTATTATTTCGATGATATATTTATATGAATTTTCTTCGAAGATTATTCCATTGAAATATTAGTTGATACAAACAGTTAAAAAAAAACAATAAATTTTTTCTTTCATTCATGTTTGATAAATATTTATTTGACATACATTTATATATCTTCGTATATAATTCTTCAAGAACTAATAGAAATAATTTTTTGTGCATAAAAAAATCTTTCCCGAGGATTATTTATATAATGAATTATTATTTATCTAGATTATGTATCAATTCGAGATTGATTAAACAAGAAGATTTAACGAAGACTCATTTTTTATATATGAATCATTAATTATAACGACTTCATCTATGTAAAACTTTTTTTTTATATTAACGATAAGAAATAAATTTGACTGGCTTATGTTATTAGTATGTTTTTACGAAATATTTCTAATTTTCATCAATAATAAAAGAATAAATAAATTGAAGTTACTATTAAAAGTTCATCTTTAATCAATGAAACTAAATAACGAATAAGTTGAAAACAACCCAGCTGGATTAATCATTAAATTTACATAAAAATAACAAATAAAAAACTGTTCTGTCAGTAGTTCTTTATGTGTAATATTAATTCTATGACTGATTTACTTGTCGCTGAGGTAATGGTTGGTTATCACCATTAGTTGATGGTTGATTATCACTATTAGTTGACTGTTGATTATTAGTATCAACTGTTCCCTTTTCGTCATGATGTTCTATACGACAAATAGAAAATAAATAAAAATCAATATTTATATCCTTTTTTTTCTTTTTACCTTCTTCATAACCTTCTTCGTAACCTTCTTCATCACCTTCATCATATTCACCTTCATCTGGATGATTTTCATGGTCCCAGCCTTCTTGACTACCTTGATCACCTTGGCTTCCTTGATCACCTTGATTTCCTTGATCACCTTGATTTCCTTGACCACCACCACGACTGCCTTGTCCACGACCACGACCTTCAAATAGAAATTAATCATTTATAAGCAACACAATTTTAAATATTACCTCGACCACGGCCACGACCACGTCCTCGGCCTCGACCACCTATTGTATGGAATGAATATAAAATTCAAAGAAAAAAAAATTCTAACATACCTCTACGAGTGGGCACACCCGTACTGGCGTGTTGTGCACAAAGCATAGCCTCTTGATGCAATTGATTAGCAGCTACTTGTGCTTTCAAAGCAGCTAAAAATAATAAAACTTTAGAAAAAAAATTCCTATCATTTATTGACAGAAACATACCAGCTTCCATTTGATTAGCATATTGATATGCAGCTTGAGCTTCTTGATGTAGAGCTGCCGCCTCACGACTAGCTGCTGCAGCAGCAAGTCGTTCTTTATGACCAGCATATCTTGGATTATTTGGATTCAATTGATTAGCATGATTATCTAAATCAGCTTTCGTATGTGGAACTAAATATAAAATTAATCATTCTTATAATATGATAATATGGCAAAGGAAAAAGAAAGTCAAGATATGCGTACTATTGGTACAAGTCTGTTTGAGTGCAAGAACGGAACTGTTACAATAAAAAAAAAGCAAAATTTCAAACCAAATCTATTGGCAGATAGAAAACTATATTTTCTTGAAAGTGGAGAGATGTACATCTTCTGCACTCGTCTTTATATTCCACAATTCTTAAGTAAAAAAACCTACCATTCGGATTGAGAGTACTTTGTGGATTGAGACCAACTGCACCGGCTGGAATGACTTGGTTTGGATCACCAGCTGGAATTGTAACAGTTTGATCATTATTTGTACTTCCATCAGTTGACGACATTTTGTAGAAATTTAGTAATAGCTATACGTTCTAAAGTAGAAATGATTCTTTTTATACTTTACGTTTTCTTTTTCTTTTGTGTGTATCAGTTAGTACGCAATAATATAAAGATAATTTCGGTATTTCTTCTATCGAATCCATCGTACAAATATAGAAACAGAAAAAGAAAGAAAAAAAAGTCGTGTCCTTACGATTTATTCTAACAGGGTAATTGGATTGAGTGCAAAGAATCTAGATGCTTCTGTCATGCAGCAGTACACGTGACTTTAGATAGATAATTATTAGTCTATTAAAATAGGTTTTTTAAAATTTTATTTTAAATATATGAATAAAATATAAAGAATTATTCAAAAAATTCATAAATTTGATTGTCAACAAATCTAGATGGCGTTAAAAGTTGTAAGACTTCGATCGAAATATACAATAGTATAACAATCAAAGATAATTATTATCTTTCCAATGAAATTTTTAATTATTCTCATATATTATCAACAAAAAATATTTTATGTTACTGGTTATTTGAATATTCAATCTAATTTTAATCAATAATTTTTTTTTCTTTGATTTAATATACATACATTGATAAAATCTCAAAATAATAATAATAATAATAATAATAAATCAGTAGATGAACGATAGTTTATTTTATTTATTCAGAAAACAAAAATCATGATAGTAAATCCATCTTTTTTCGGACTATAATTTATTTTTTTGAAACATAATTCTAAATAATAATTATAAAGTTGATTTTAGTATCAATGAAAGATTTATTTATTTCAAAATTAATTTTACAACTATTAAACAAAATTAATTTTAAATATGAACATAAAATAATGTTTGCATCTTTCATAAAGCTATTGAATAAAATAATTTAAACCAACATCAGGATTACAGACACAATTCTTTCTTATCTCATTTCACATATCTTCTATATTTGATCAGTTAAAAAATTTTCTATAATTAAATTGATCATACAACCAAAGACAAGAGGAAATTTGTTGTCATTATAAATAACAACAGAAGATTAAGAAAAATAAATCTTGAACAACCAAGTTTGCACTGACGTCTTATTTAATTTGATTTATTAATTTGTAGCCATCCCTGCTGATACACACACCGAAAACTATAATATTAACCCTTCCTTGTCTGTGACTAAAATTTAAGGTCTGGGACTGAAATTCATCTATTAATGTAATCACTACGGATCCTAATATGCGCAAAAACAGCTTGAATCACGTCACTTAAATACTGGTATGAGTGACGTATTGAATGTTCGCTAGTTTTTATTGTATAGAAAAACCTATGAAAGTTACAGCAGAATGAACACTATGATACTATTATCGTAAGCATACGAAAATTGCATTCACTTCATAAATCATCATTTGATGTACTATATAAATTAAGTTTCAAAGATCTACTCTTTCAGTCGATGATGTAATTGGAAATGATTAGTTTCAGCATAACAAAGCCAAACTTTACATTTCTTGCAATAAGTGCTGGTCTTTCTTCAACAAACTGAATAATGGCACCTACCAGTGCCATACTAGAAGAGATGAGAAAAAAAAAGAATAAAGTAAAATGAACAGAAAGAACAAGAAAAAAATCAAAAAGAAAATACACATAGATAAAAATATGATCGAATGTAATAGTTATGTTTTATACAAAAACAGTTCTTATCGAAATTTTATTATTATGCTAGCAGTTGAATAATGATCAAATAGCATAGAAAAATAGAACTTTGTTTTCTCTATTATCTCATATAAAAAGAAAATTTCAACAAGTCTATTGTAAGAAAATAAAGTACCTGGACTATTACATTTTGTCGAAACACATGAGTGTCACAATTACTTTTGACTAAAAATATTTTTCAAAGAATATTATTAATAGAGTTCTGAATGGATTGCTCGGTGTATTCTCCTATAATAGAATTCAGTTATTTTTCAAGAGGAAAAAGCAGATTATTTTCACTGTTGTCTCTGAAAGGTACCGAAGAATTAGACACTAAAAAAAACACCTGCTGTTGCCATATTTTCACATGTTCATTTTTTTCTCTATATTTTGAATTAAATTCAACTGTGAATCCAACCTTCTAGATAGTATCAAGCTAGGTCTTTCTCGTTGTATATTGATGTTACCAACAAAGAATGTGATAGCATATTATTTCATGAAGATCATCCATAATCTCGAAAATGACGAGATGTGTATTCGAGGACAAAATTTCACAACCCGGGTCCAATAAAACGGCGTCGTAAACGGCCTGAAACGGCTATAAAACGGCGATTAACGATGTTAAACGTCGATAAACGGCACCGTAATCCGTCATACCAGATTACGGAAGCAAAACCGGAAAAAAACGACCGCCGTTTTCTAGCAATAGACGGTGGTCGTAATACGGTATGACGGATTACGGCGAAATAAGGCCAAAATTACTGCAGTAATTCGCCGTTTTATAGTCGTTTCAGGCCGGATACGCCGCCGTTTCCGACGGCCGGAATGATCCACCTGGGCGAAGGGATCCATTAAATCACTGTTCTGCAATTAGATTTCATTGAAGCAGATTTTAATGAATGATGATGAAATATAAAAGAAAAATACAAAATCGGCTCGCTATTGTTGACTATGTTGAAAGAGATTAAAACAATAAAGTACATGTATCAGTCTATTGATCAAACATTTGTTGTTGATTCATGGTATCAGAATCTAATAGAACTTCAACCGTTTTCTTATCGTCTTGTATGATCAAAATACATGGCAATGGTATATCTTCCATAGTGGAATATTCTTTCACAAATTCATCATCATGTAAAAACAAAATATTCAATGATAGAGTAGAAATAAATTTTTCCCATTTTTTATGCATACCCGTATTGCAATACGTCAATTTACACAGCTGAAAGTGGTAGGTAAATGGTCGAAGAATCATATGATTTGCCATATTAAATCAATGGCAGTATGCCTTTATTATGGAGTAGTAGAGAATGAAAAGAGGATGCTTGCTGTTCAGAGCGAGTGACCGAAATTAGTTACTAGAAGTCTTATAATTGTGCTCATCATTGTTCACGTCGATACACCTTGTTATCTTCTACAATCCGATTAGTAAGGCTAGTATATACACGTATATTTGTGATGTTTCCATGTAAAAAATTTTTAGCAAAAATCAGATTAAAATTGATTTTAAAAAAATCCGAAAAATCAATGAAATCCATATTTTAGACTGAAAAATCCAATTTTAATCTGATTACAATCGTGCTATTTTAATCTGATTTTTTACTGAAATTTTTTTACATACGTTTCTTTCATTGCTTCCATTCATCGTTGACCAATACGCTTGTAAAAGAAACTATACGATGTTGCTGAGGTATATTATATACAATTTTCAATTAATGCTTCATATGACGACTATATCACTTGATCATCATTCAATAGAAACTATTCATCAGTAGTAAAATAAGCATCCGCTTCATGAGTCGCCATTGATAAAAGTAATGATTTAATTTGTCAAGCGCAGATATAATAATATCCACCATGGAGAGTATAACTTTGTATGAACAATAACTAGAACAAGATAATATATAATGAAAATAGGTTTCGTTTGTGACGAATGAAGGTGAACATTGAGAACTTTAGGATAATTCATTTTAGTAAAAACTTTTCGAAAGATATACGTTCATTTATCATATTCGAATTGGTGTAATGATAAGATTAAATGTTCTGGTACTGTTTGTAGAATAGTATATCATTCGGCATCTTATAATGATATATTCTAAGATTTTTCTCCTGCTATATATTCGAGAAAAAAAGAAGAGTCAACTACCTACCGGCAATATTCGCATCGATATTGATTTCCATCTTTCAATTCTTCTTTCTGAAAATAACAATCAAAAATCATTTGAAGATTCAACATCGATTTCTCTTTCGATGACAAATGAACGGATGGATCAATGTTGGTGAAGAATGTGATCGAAAGGAAGAAGTCAATGGAACAAGCATTGTAGATGCAGATGAAGAGAAGATCACACGCACACATACACTCATACCCTAGATTGTCATCAATGCTATTGATTTCTTTTCTAATTAGAGTAGCAATCAAAAGAGTTCTTTAAAATCAATACTGAAGTAAATAATCGACAGTATTTTTTTGTGTATCTCTATTTTGATATTAGCGAGAAGTGTCAATTTATGAATTTTAAAATTCATTAGATGTATAAAATAAATTGAAAATTTTTGTTTCTTTTTGAATTTAAGTAATTTTCAATTTATTTTTGTATTTAATATTTTTTTTGAATATAAGTGGATTATTCCTAATTCATAATAGTCAGACTGAAATTCCTCCAAAAAATTTAAGGAATTTTTTATTTATATGAAAACTTGGAAAAACTCGACAATTGTATTACATATTGTCTTAGAATCATTATGAACATAGAGAAGATAATCTCTCTTGATCGTATGGCTCAATTGTCCAAATGACGAATAAGTGATATATTGTACTTTTGTTCGAATCTCACCTTCTTCCTTATATATTTCAATTCAGACTAATCCACAGTCGACCACTACAGAAGAATACACCTGGTCGGGTGTACCGAGCTTGACATCTTTACTTTTTCAATTTTCAATTCTTTTCGGATGGGCATCATGTCGACTTCAACTGTCTAACCTCTATCTCAAAAAGTCCTAGTCAACGATTAGTCTGAATATCTAACATACTCAGGACGATGAATCCGAGAGTCGGATTCTATCGGATTCCCTGGACAATCCGACAACTGCCGACAGGATCCTGTCAGAGCTTTTTTCACTGAAATCCAACGAAATTCTGCTGAATTCATATCTGAACATTATACATTGTTTGACCGTCCATTTTCTTCGTCACGTACAAATAGGTGCAAATTAACAACTTAAGCCCAGTTAATTTTAACTTTTTATTAAACAAAAAAATTACATTAAAATAAAATAAAATAAAATAAAAATAACATATAATAAGGTACAAATAAAAATAAAACAAG